GAGAGTAACATGCCCTGATCACAAGGGAGCTTCACATTGGGACTCTCCTACACTTCACCCTATGCAGTGGTTCTCAACCTTCCTAATGCCGCGGCCCTTTAATACAGTTCCTCATGTTGTGGTGACCCCCAACCATAAAATTATTTTCGTTGCTACTTCATAACTGTAATGTTGCTACTGTTATGAATCATAATGTAAATATCTTATATGCAGGACGTATTTTCATTGTTTGCGACCCACAGGTTGAGAACCACTGCCTATTGTGTCTCTCCTTTTCCCTGGTTCTGATTTGTATCCTTATAAAAGAATTGTAAGCAACGTATTTTCCTGAGTTCTGAGAGCTGCTCAAGCCACTTACCAAACCTAATGGGCACTGGTGGGAACTCCCAAATTTGTAGCCAACTGGTGGCCTGGGACTTCCAAACCTGGCATCTGAAGTAAGAGCAGTCTCGTGGAGGACTTTGCCTTTAACTTGTGAAGTTGGTGACAGAAGTCATTTCACTGAGTCATGTGCTAAACTTTTCCAGAAGTAGCACTGCCATTTTGCATGCCCAACAGCAACATAATGAGGGTACCAGTATCATCCCACAAACACTTGGCCCTGTCATTATTTTTATTTTGAGTTATTCTAGTATGTGTGTAGTGATACTCTAGTAAGTATGTAGTTTGCTAATATTTTGCTGAGGATTTTTGCATTATATTCACGAGGGATTGTTATTGGTCTATAGTTCTGTTTTCATCTAATTTGGTATCAGATTAATGCTGTCCTAATAAAATGATCATCTCTTTTTCTGAAAGAATGTATAGAATTGGTGTTACCCTTGATCAGAATTTGCCAATGAAACCACTTGGAAGGTGTTGTGTTCCCCCCACCCTGTAGGAGTGTGTTTTTGGTATTTAACCTGCTTAGTGTTCTGAACTTCTTGGGTCTATCATCATTTGGTGTCTATCATTAATTTTGGAAAATTCTCAGCCATTATTTCTTCTGCCCATTGTCTTTCTCTTCTAGGATCCTAATTATGCATATGTTAAACTGATATTGTCCCACAGCTCTTATATGTTCTTCTATGGGTTGTTTCCTTCGGAAAGAGATGTTTCTTTTGAACTAAGTAAATGGTGTATTAGGGGTTTTTTTTCAAGTATAAATAATACTATCACAACATTCCTTTTCTTTTATTCCCAGCTTTAGCAAACTTCAAATATGATTCTTTCAGACCTCTGCTTTTTCTCTCAATTCTTGCTTTCTTTCATTTCCATATAAAATCACACTAAGTGCTGAATGAATTTAGGGAATTAGGGGTTCAAGTTCTTTCTGGACTTAGTAGTGGGGAGAAGAGTGTAAACAGTGCAGTTTATTAATTAGATATACTTGTTTTGCATGTTTAATTCCATTCACTTAGATGCAGGTGTCTTGCTTTATTAGCTTCACTTCCACCCCCAACCTTTCTGTCTCTATCTCCTGTTAACTCTCTTAACAGCAAACCTCCAGACAGAATTTCAAGTGCAATTCACCTGATTATTTTCCTTTCTTTACAGTTTAAAACAAAAGGGAAAGAATAAAGTGAAAGGGAAAAACTGGTTGGATGCAGTTTAAAGACTAAAGTAGTTGGTAGATTTGAGGAGTTAACACTTAGCCTTTGGCAGGTCCTGTTCCTCATCTATTTGAGGATACTAACCCCTCTACTTCCCCTCCCCCCCCAATTTAAACTTACAGGGAAAACATATAGAAGATGAAATACATATCTTATGTATTTTCAGGGAAGGAAATAACAGTTATGGCAACTTTTTAAAAACAATATTTCTACTTTAAAGTTTAAGAAAACTACCACCTCAGGATTTTATTTTCAGTTCTGAGGGAATCAAGCTAAATTCCAGCACTAAATATATTTCCTTTGGATAAAAAGACAAATGACTAGTGGTTTTAAATTGCTGGGCTTTATTAAGATATTGGCAAAATTTCAACATACTTCTCACCTGAATGAACAGTTTTAATAAATAAAGTATGAAGGATCACTGGTGATTGCGACTGAACTCAAGAGCGAGATGTAGAGCAGGTTCTTAAGTTGATAAATTTACTTGGTAAGAAATGTTTACTTCATTTGCTTCACTCCATAGAGAATTTCTTTGCAGAGAAATGTCATGAACAAGAGGACAAAGCCTGTCTCTCACCAAAGAGCACCCAGAGTAGGTTACTGATGGTATATCATTGGGTTATCCAGTACATCAGAGTTTACTAGAGTAGTTCCTTTTTCAGAACAACTACTGTGTCAGTCTGGAGTTCCCTATCTTATTTCATATTTCCTAATTAGTACAATAAATAATCTTCAAAATAGAAGATAAAATGCTGCTAGAGGAAGTAACTGTTTTTCAACACAGTACCATTTATCTGGAAAATAGTTGTGTTATAATACTGGTGGTATCTTGTTTTGAAAACATCTAAGCTATTCACAGGTCGGAATAGAAGAGTTGGTGGGTATCACCTTTTATGGCCTTGCTTAGGTGTGAATGACCATTGAGTGAACAAAGTATGTTTAAACATCAAAATAATTATTTAGATCACTTTCTTGCAAAGCCTTGGCCAGCCTCTGATGGGGAAGGAAGTGCTTGAACCACAGCAGTTTTATCTGTAAACACTGAACTTTCTGTATCGTTTTCATCTGCCCATTGGATGTTGCACTTCTTACTGGCACAGTGTTCCAAAATGGAATGTGATAATCAGGGAGATGCACCGTACCACCATGTGAACATTGTACCGCTTTAAATGGTCAGGCTCACTATTGACATTGATGTTGCTGACACTGTCCTTGGAAAAGGTGTTACTTTCAAGATCCTCTTAAATAAAACAGTAACTTTAATTTTATTAACTTAAGGACAGTGGATGGCATTTTTAGGCAAAGTAAAGGTATATACATGTGTATTTCCACTGTCCTCTAGTAGAAACCTAACTGGTACTGAGAGCCCCAGTGTTTGATGTGATAGTGCTGCTTAACATCAGCTCTCTCTCAACAGTACACATCCAGAAAGTGAACAAATTAGGGTGATTCCCTTTGAAACTCACAGTGAATGTACAGGCATTTATAATCACTTTAGTTGGTGACTTGAAGTCTGTTTCCCTAACCAATACTATACTTTCTTGTTTACACTGTTTTACTATTTCCTATTCTAACAAAACTAGCAGGCAAACAAATTGATGCAGATCATGTTAAATTCAAAAAGGGATACTGCCACTCTTAAAGACTGAGTGCAGAACTCTCACCACCACTAAATTACACAGTGAGTAAAAGTACAAAACACAGAGTTCACAGACTATACCTCAGCATTAACAGTTAATATATATTATATAGATACTTTTATATCTATCTAATATTTTTACAATCACCAGATACACCATCTTAAAGTACAAGTTACAGAAATGTGTAAAAACCATTAGTTAGAGGATACTTATTGCTCACATCAGCAAGCAGCAAATAAGGGCACAGGATTTGAACCGAAGGGAACTACTTTCTATCACCAGTGGCATTAAGATATAACACTGCACTTCACAAAGAACTGCTTTTATCTGGTTTATAGAACCAAGAGCAGCATATATCAGACCAATAACCACTACTTTAATATGTATTATAGAATTTTAAAGGACTTACCTTACAAATGGTACCTAACTACTCTATAAATATGCATGTGGACAAATGAAAATTTGCTATTTTTTACAATACTGTTTCATAACTTGATCATACTAGAACTACTTTGCTTTATTTTCTAGAGGGCTACTGGTATGAAAATGGAGTTAACACTGCTTATGTAGTCAAACCTACAAGATCCAGACCCTTAAGATGTGGTCTGTGTTCATCCCAATTTCATCCAACCATTTTCCCCACTGAAAAAAAACTATCACTTGTACCTTATTTCCTCTCACCAGCTTCATTCTGATCAAAACGTTAGTTATAGAAAAATCTTAATTTCTTTTTTAACTTAGCTAAATGCTGGACTATAACATACCAATATTCTGCTGCCTCTGTTTTCTTATCTCCTTAGATAATTGGATTCGAAACTGATACTGCACCTGATGGGTTGTTAACAAGATCTAGGCTTGAGAAAATGAAAGATGTGAGTGAGGTGCATGGGAGGGGTGGGGGAGGGTGTTTAAAAATATTAGGCTGGTGAGATTCTGGTCACAAGCCTCAAGAAGAGAATGACTTCAAACCAAGGGAAAACAAATACTGAAAATGTCTAATTACATTCAATTTTTTAAAATAAAATCTGTAAATTAATGATGTGATCATCACTACAGTGAAGACGTTTTTACCCAAAGTATCTGATTTTAAAATCCAGGGGTTTTACTCCTCCATTGTGGATCTGGAGAACATAAAGTAATTGCATTATGTACAAACATGGTTAGGCATTGGGCGCTTCTCAGCAAGAGTATCCAGTATCCCATAGTATGAGTGATGAGCACTATAGCAGGTACCTCCTGTCCACTGGCTTGTCTGGTCCACAGTTGACTAGGGGAGGGTAACATGTCATGTGGAGACATTCATGATTCTCAGAATCAGGCTGCTTCATTGAATGAATCTGATTATTACTCTATTTGCTGCCTTTAGTTGAAGATGTGCTTCTGACTTGAAACTGCAGAAATGGCAAAAAGCAGACAATTTTAAAATATAAATACATATTGAAATGAGAGATACACATTCTCTCTGCATGAAGTTGCATGTAGCAGAACTCTGGGGTGTTCTCCATTTCTAACTAAGCAGACCTTGGTCTCGGTAGTCTGTACTCTCCCTTGTCCTTGGCCTCCAGGCTCGCTTAAGCAGTACTTTCAACCTCTCACACCAATTCATTCCCTTGGGGGAAACAGTTTTAGAGAAGTTAAAACTCGTTATTTTTTATTCTCCAAAACCACTTATTTTTGTTAATCCTCACCTGAGGATATTTATTGAGTTTTAGAGAGAGTAGAAGGGAGGGGAAGAGAGAGTGACACATCAATTGGTTGCCTCCCACACGCCCCCGCCCAGGGCAGGAGATCGAGCCTGCAACTGAGGTACATGCCCTTGACTAGAATCAAATCTGGGACCCTTCAGTCTGTAGGCCGACACTCTAGCCACTGAACCAGACCAGCTAGGGCACCACTTCTTATTTGATAGTGGTATATGGCTTTGCTGTCTTTGACCTTTAAAAAAAGGGGGGGGAGGGTAGAAAAAATAGCAATGCTATTCTATTCAAATGTACCTGACATCTCCATTAAACCAGTGTTATTCCTGAGATGAAGGTACAATGAAAAACATGTTAGCATCATAGGTTGAAACCAGTTGACAGTGGTCTTCTGACAAATAATAAAAATTCCACCAAAAGCACCATAACAGGTTATGAAACTCCCAAATAGCTACAGCCCTGGGAAATAATTTAAAAAGCTTTGTCCTTTATGTTACAGAAAAGAAAAAAAAATCAGTAAATGTTTATGCTGCCTCACAAGTCTGAAAATATGACATTTTTACACTAGGTTTCTACTTCCATTGTTACCAATTAAAACCCGTATGGCTTATAGTCTTTTACTTACCAAAAAAGTGGGGAAGGTAGGGTTTTCCCTCATAGTCCCGAGTCTTTTGAGGAACAGTCCTCAACTAAATCAATTCTACATTAAGTTTTCCAAAGATATATTAGGCATATCAGACCATATTTCAACACTGTATCCTGACAAAAATAAGTACCTTGCAAGCTTCCACTAATGGTGTGAAGAGGCAGTGGGGAGGGGTTGTATGTAGATGTGGATACATTACAGGGATCAGTTGTATAATTTTGCTAATGAAACTGCCAAAAAACTTCTTTTGATTGAAATCACTATTTTGAGTTTCCTAGAGATCTATTTACATTTAAGAATTGAGCCATTTATGATTTCATAATGAACACATATTTCAGAAATGTCTACCTTGTTTCTACTCTGATGGTGGTTTTATTGGGGGAGAGCTAGCTAGCCTACTCTAAAGACAAGGTATTACATTTTACAGCTCCAGGGAAGATCTGGGTATGGAATATCATTACTCTTTCTGAGCTTCCTCATGTTTTCATTATACTCTTTCCAACTATCTTGCCTCCATGGAAGAGAACTTCTTAACATCCTATTTCTTTTCCCACCTGAAGTAAGTGAAAATAGGCTTGTGCCTACTTTGTGGGAAGGCTCTTGAGCAGGAAGGAATGAATTAAACTTTGGATTAAACCTGAATCCATGCCACCTCTTTGAGAAGTGATAGCGTAAATGAGATAATCTAGAAACTCTATTTCCCAGGAATTTTAACTGTTCATTTTCCAACCTAGAACAGACAGGAGACACACTCTCCATTCTGTATATCTGCTGCCCTGTTGAACCCAAATTAAAGGAAGAGGGAATCTCTCCAGCACCGCTCCATTCAGACAATGATTGAACTGATTCATTCTCCATTATTAGCTCATTAATAAGATTTGCTTTCTTTGGTGCACCAGGACCAAACATCTCAACTGGTGGCAAAAACTGAGCACTGTGAAGTTTGCTTGCTTCTACTTGTGTGAGATCTAGGTAGCCTGGGTCTTCCAGCACGTTGATTTGGGACCCTGGGCTCAGGCTAGTTCTGTCAGTGAATGAATCCACACGCCCATCATAACCTAGGTCGGCTGGTGCTGAGCACTGGTGCTGAGGCCAAGGGCGTTTGCACTCTCCATGATTTTCCTTATCATCCCCACCATCTTCTTGCCCTCCTTGAAAGGAGTTCTCTGTCCAGTCTGATTCCTCACTAACATTTTCAGCTTTGTTCATGTCCCTCAGGAAAACCACAATAACTGTGATGTTATCACTTGACCCAGCATCGCGAGCTGACGCCACTAATTTGTGGGCAACCATGCTGCTGTCTCCATTATTCTCCTTCAAGTGATCAGATACAACTTTCACTGCCTCATCAGGGTTCACGGTGTCATAGAAGCCATCGCAGGCCAGAATGAGGTAGTCTTCAGTTCCATCCAACACAGTAGAGGCGGAATCTGCATCCCCACAGATATATGGCTTATGTTCAGCGTCTCCTGTGGGAATTAGAACACAGGTCAGATTTTGGTTTACCTTGCTTGTAAGAATGTGGATGGCCAATGCTATGACTCTGACTACATTCTGCAATTGTGATCTGAATTACTGGAAATAATTTATAATCTAGTTTGAGAGAATACTTGAATTCTCTGTTAATCAGATGCTGCTTATGCCTCACTCTCAGTTGTGTAATTGCCATTAACTGGGCTTAATTTCTTATCTAGCTTAGACTCTGAATTTTATGTCCTAGCTATGACATAGGCTTAGCTGAGCATGGCAACAAATGTCACATCTAAATTTGTTGCTGTACTGGAAACTTGAGTCCTGCGTAGGAAAACGTGGATTTAGTAGATCTTTTCTTTTACTGGTGGTTAACTTCGATCAATTGAGATTTGAGAACAGGTCCACACTGAAAAACAAACCAAAGTTCTGATCACTTCTTTTTATTAAACACTTCTTATTATATCCTTATTTAGAAATCAAGTTTCATGCTGTGAACACAAAGGAAGGCTTGAGTTACAAGGGATTTTTAAAAATCAAGTCCAACTCCCACAAGCCAGGAAAAGTCATCCCAAGCCTCAGACAAGTGAACTAGAATGTTAGGCTCAATTCCCAGTCCAATTTGCTTTCTATTTTTTAAATTCTGCTTTGTTTATTACTTCTAGGGAACAGTCAGAATGTGTATGATCATTTTTCTCATCTTCAGGGACTACCGTATTCTTGCTTTTTTCTTCAAATTGTTTCTGATCACCCCCCTTCTATCTTTATTACTATTAGTCATCCTTCACACCTGTGAACAACTATACGCACCCCCAAAACCCTATTTGCTCAGCTCATCCACTTACAGAATGACATTTTAGCTGGGCCTTGAAGAAGTTATCACCAGGCAGAGAAGGGTTCTGGGTTGAGAGAACTGTTAGAGACTAATATGTAGTTGAATATAGGGTGCTGGGAGTACAGACAGACTGGAGACCTTAGGGCCACACACCGAGGTAGGTTTCCATCACAGATTATGAAGACAAGCCATCATCTATAGTGCAGTTTGGAACTTCCAGATCCAGAGCACTTCCAACTCCATTCATTGTTTTTGTTTGTTGTTGTTTTAAAATATATTTTATTGCAGAGAGGAAGGGAGAGGGATAGAGAGTTAGAAACATCATGAGAGAGAAACATCGATCAGCTGCCTCCTGCACACCCCCTACTGGGGATGTGCCCGCAACCAAGGTATGTGCCCTTGACCGAAATCGAACCCGGGACCCTTCAGTCTGCAGGCCGACGCTCTATCCACTGAGCCAAACCAGTTAGGGCTACATTCATTGTTTACATTCATTGTTTTCCTTAGGGATTTGGAGAGAACTAGCAAAAAGGGTCCTTACCCTATTAGGTAACCAAATAGATTATTACTTACAACAAGGGATACTCATTTCTTAACATTAAAAACAAACAAACACAGAGTATTAAGCAGTAATTCTTAGATTAGAGCATCATAATGCATCGATAATACTTTTTAAAAATTTATAAAGTGCTTTTATCATTTGTAAAGCAGTGACAGACATAGCTTAGTGGTTTAAGGATGCCAGCATGAGTCACAACTGCCTGGGTCCAAATCCTAGCACTTGTTAAAAACCCTCATCAATTATTATTAGCCTTTCCATTGCACTAAAACTGGACATTTTGAGAAGTGGAAGATAAAGATAAATATACTTAAGTGATCTGGCTATATTGTCACTGTTTCTGGTATCTGATATAGGTTTCCCCCAATGTTTCACATTCCCTTTTAATCCTCAAGTAGACCCAGAAAGCTGAATAGGAACCCTATGGAGAACTCCGCTAGCACCAACAGTGGGCCACATGCCCCACCCAGCATTTTGAAAGGGATACCCTAAAAAAAATACTGAATATATTTACCTGCCTTAGTTTATCTACAAGGTAAACTATCTTTTTCATACAGTAGCCAGAACTGTCTTCCTCAAGCATGGTTTGATTTAGTCAGTTTCACTTCTATACTATGATGCCTTTTAATTAGCTAGTTTATAAAAACTAGTTAAAACTTCCAATCATGGGGTTCAGTGTCCTCTACCAGTCTACTTCACAAATCTCCCCCTCTGCTACTTCACCTCACTGTATTGTTATCATTATTTTCTGAATTCCAACTCTAAAAATAAATGTGATCTGAGTCATGCTGTTCCCAAAAATCTTGTTTTAGTGTGTCAAGTAAAAGGCTACTGCAACTGTTAGTTTAGAACAGAACATACAAAGAATTTGCAAAAGAAATGCTGCCAGAATTCTGGCTTTTCACTTACTCTACTGTTGGATGCCAAATTCATGACATTTCACCCCCAATTTGGTAGGAGGTCATGATTATCCATTTCATGGCAGAAATGGCAACATCCTTTTGTCTTCAACATCCTCTCTCCATATGCTAGGAAACATCATGCTTCAGTCAACTTTGGATCATACATTTGAAGGGCTTTAAAGCTTTTAATTTTCAAAGCTTTAAGAGTCATTTTTTCCTAAGCAGAGGTCAACTTAGGAACTCTGCTTAGGAATCCTTTTTCTTGTCCACATTTAACCCTCTATTTTATGCCATGAGCTTTCTAAATCTCTCATTTTCAACTCCCTCTTCCAATTAAACTACTGGATTGGGTAGATGGCCTAATTTCCTACTTCAAGGATAATTTGAGTTTATTAATCCTGAATTTCCTCAATTCCTCTCCACCCATTTCTTCTGTTTGTTTGTTTTTTTTTAATCTGTAGAGATTCACCCATATCAGCTACCATTTCTCAGAGTAAAAGGTGTCCATTCCCTTCTCAAAGCTAACCTGTGCATTTGGACCCTGGCTTCTCTCTCTCCCCTGTTCAATTTCTCTACTACTTGCTCTCTTCCTTAATTGTATAAACAGGGTCTGATCTAAAATCTCACCTAAAAAAAAACCAAAAACAATGAAAGCAACACTTTCCCAAATCAGCTTTTCCCTCAAGTCACCACACTGTCTCCCTTCACCACCATATTGTCCAAGAAACCAAATCTGCACATGCTCCTTCTTGTTACTGCTCATTTTCCCTCACCTGATTGTTTTCTGCTTTGTGTGCCTACTGATCCAACACATTTATCTCAGATGTTACCAATCATAGTAAGCCTTCATTTAATGTCATCTATAGGTTTCTGTGACTAAGTGAAATGATAAAAGGAAACCAGTTTTACCTTAGGCCAGTGGTCGGCAAACTCATCAGTCAACAGAGCCAAATATCAACAGTACAACGATTGAAATTTCTTTTGAGAGCCAAATTTTTTAAACTTAAACTATATAGGTAGGTACATTGTTACTAACTTAATTAAGGTACTCCTAAGCTGGCCTTTGCTAAAAACATCCTCAATCTGATGAGGTACGTTCGCTGAGGTCAACCCCTTCCAACTCTCCTATCCACACGCGTCTTGTATACTTGTTTCGTCTATCAGATAGACTCTATCTCCTTTCGTTCATCCTCTCTATATGTCCAAACCATCTCAACATACCTTTCTCAATCCTCGACACTACATCTTCTTTCACTCCACAACGTTCCTAAAATTAACTTAATAAACTTTACTTTTGTAACCCGCGCACGATTTGCAGACGTGACTAGCACTAACCACTGCACAATGAGACTGCTGACTGGCTCACTCAACTCGTGCATGAATCGCGTGCGCCTCCCCCGCGATGCGCTGCGTCTCTCGTTGCCCGACCCACTGACACCCCCCACTACTTCTAATGCCACTTCTTCAAAATAGACTCGCCCAGGCCGAAAACCGACTTCTGAGCATGGGCCACGAAGTTTCAATCGCGCCTGCACGTGGTATTTTGTGGAAGAGCCACACTCAAGGGGCCAAAGAGCCGCATGTGGCTTGCGAGCCGCGGTCTGCCAACCACTGCCTTAGAATACAAAGAAGAGCAAGTTCATACAGCACCTCATTAACGTTATAACAAAATGACAGTAAACAGAACATAATGCAAGGACCTGTTGTATTCCCTATTTTCAAAATTCCAGGTCTTATTTTTTTAACCCACTTCTCACTTGACCTCTGCAGCACTTGACCCTGTTCACTACTTTCTCCTAGAAACCCTCTTCCCCTAGCGTCTGAGATACCCCACTTCTAAAACCCTCATCCCCTCTTTATTTTCTTCACTCGCTCCTTCACTTAACAATTGCACTAACAGCACAGCTGGTGTGACTCAGTGGTTGAGCATCAGGTCACTGTGTGATTCTTGGTCAGGGCACATGCCCAGGTTGCAGGCTTGATCCCCAGTAGGGGGCATGTAGGAGGCAGCCAATCAATAATTCTTTCTCATCGATGTTTTTATCTGCCTCTCCCTTCTCTCTGAAATCAATAAAAATATATTTTAAAAAATAATAATTGTACTAACAGCTCTGGCCCATGTGGCTTAGTTGTTGGGCATCTTCCTGTGCACCAAAGAGCTGCCAGCTGGAGCACGTGCCTGTGGTATGGCCGGTCCCTGGTTGGGGGCGTGCAGGAGGTAGCCGATTGCTTCACTCTCACATCGATGTTTCTCTTCCCCTCACCCTTTCTCTCTCTCTCTCAAAGTCAATTTTAGAATCTTAAATAAAAATAGCACTAACAATCACTGTTTACGACTGTGACATACAGAACTCTGAGTGTGTGCATGTACTGTGCTATTTAATACAAGAACTTCATAACTTAGGTACTGTTACTGTTCACACATTACAAAAAACAAATAGAAACCGAGAAATAAACTTCCCAAGGCCTACAGCTTGTAACGTGGCATATCCAAGATACAAACCCAGAGAGCTGACTTCATTATGTTATTCTACCTTAAGGAATGAGGCTCTCTCTTTCCATACTACAGGTTTTTCTTGGGCAATGTCATCCATACCCATAGTTTTAACTAATATATATGTTACTTCAGAGGTTGCATATATTATTGCCAAAATGGGATGCGTTCCCAAATCTCTATCTCCAATTCAGAGGAACCTAGAATATAAAATATATCCAAAATGAACTCATCATCTGCCCTGCTCCCCACCCACCAAATTGCTGCTGCTTTATTACAAATACTTTTTCTCAGTCACACAAGTCAGAAACCTGGAAGTTAGCTTTCCTCTTCCCCCACAAACTGTCATTTCTGTCCCATCAATTTATACCCTCCTCTGTATCCCTTTTTAGCTGCCTCATCTCTGTAAAAATGTTATCAATAGCTTCCTGAATGATCATTCATCTAGGTTTGCTACTCTAGACTGTCTTACAAACCATTACAAATATAACTACAAACCAGATCATATGGGCCCCTCTGCTTATCACCTGGTAAAGCCCAGACTACTTAGTCCCTTCACAACTTAGCACCAGCACTTCCACCTCTGCTCCAGCCTCTGTTCGTAAAACACAACGCTCTTTCAGACGCCCATGTATTTATATCCCCCTGTACCTGGATTTCCTCCCTGAATACTACCCTCCATGCCCAACACAAAAGCCACTTCCTCTGTGAAGTCTGCTTATTCTGTCCTAGACTGTCACTTAGTCAAGGACATTCTCCCCCTGCTTTAGTTCCCATGTGTTACATTTTTAGAAACAAGTATCTCCCTAGTAAAGCTGGTTCTATAACAGGCATTAAAGGTACCTCTCAAACACTGGCAAAGATGGGAAGATCAAGAGGAAGAGGTCTTTGGTTGGAATTGTCAAAAAATAATTCTATATAGAATGTTTTAGAAATGGGAAGTTTTCCCTATTTGGCCTTATGCCAGAGTTCCTAATAACTCCCTCAGTCATAAGATAAAGCCAACTTTCACTTTTTTAGGAGATATTTGCAGAATTTTTCTTTCTCTCTCAGCCTTCTGCTACCCACATTTGGGCCACTTCACAGCTTGCCAGTACCTTCCCAAAGAGTGGGAGGAACAACTCACATCCGTGGTGAAATTGAATCAGTCCTTTGAGATTTTTGGTAATGATAAGTAAAAGTTGGGGATTAGAGGTAAATTCCATTAATCCATGTTATCCCTATGTCAGATTACCTCATTTCTTTAGGAAGCTGTGACTAAGAACTGCAGTATATATGCACATATGCATATCCCCCATATAGGCACTCACATTGATTTATTCTTTAAAAGCAACAACAACAGAAAATAAAGCTAAGGCATGAAACCTAAAATAAACTCAGGCGTGAAAGTGAAACAAAGACAGAAAGTAGACTATAACTCAATTCTGTTGACTTCCCCTTCTTTTGAAGAATTTAGGTCCCAGGGAGCAAATTCTTTGAAACCCCAGGATTATCTGGCAAATTATTACACTCATATAGAAAATTATTTTCATCTAAAAAGCACTGTTTTCCCCATGGATTTGTTCTCTGTTGTTTAGTCATTTAAAAATTCATAATGATGCCCTAGCCGGCTTGGCTCAGTGGACAGAGCGTCAGCCTGCGGACTGAAGGGTCCCAGGTTCGATTCCGGCCAAAGGCACAAATGCCTGGGTTGCGGGCTCAATCCCCAGTGGGGGGCGTGCAGGAGGCAGCCGATCAATGATTCTCTCTCATCATTGATGTTTCTATCTCTCCTTCTCCCTTCCTCTCTGAAACCAATAAATATATTTTTAAAAAATTAAAAAAAAATTCATAATGAATGACATAAAGACATTAGTAAGGTAAAATATGGGGGGAGGTTTCCATTTTCTAGAAAACACTGATTTAAACTAAATATGACCCAAAATGAAATGAGGATCATGTAGATTTGTGTACCAAAGATTAAAGACTTCCTTTTAAAAAAAATGAGGATAAAACTAATAAATTCTACATTTCTTAATACAGTTCCCTTTTAGTAATGGAATTTAAGCATATAAATGAGTAGGTTAATTAAATAATTTACAGAGCCACCATCCAACTGCTGTTTTAAATAATAAAAAGTACACTGATAATATAAATTATCATCTCTGGTTCCTTGTTGTATCAGAGTTAACATAAGACAATGAGCCAAAAGAGGACAGTTTAGAGAAACAAAAATTAATTGGTTTTTCCTACCAATAGCTCTGGAGACGGATAGACTTCCATTCACTCGCCAGGCACCAAACCAGACTACACAACCTCCCAGGGCCTCAATTCGCTGCTTTTCATCCTAAACAGCAATGCAATGAAAAGAAGCAAATAATTAGATTCAGGATTTATTCTTCTACCTTAACAGTAAACAACAGATATATTCATCAGCTTTCTGGAAAGTTTCTCTTTATTTCTCCTTTGGAAGGTGGGCATGGATGCTGAGATAATGGTGATAATTATGTTATTAAGACAATCTTAATAACCAGGAAATTGCCTTTGTGGAACAGACCATACTTACTTCTCTGTCTGGTTTGTGTGGCTTCATTAGTTCAACAGCTTGGCCCTTTCTCACAAGCATAACCTGGGAATCACCCACCCAGGCTACATGTAGCATGTTGCCTCTGATAAAAGTCACCACTCCTGTGGTCCCACATCTTAAGCTCTGAAAACAGTTTAAATAAAACCAGAGTCAGTAAAAATACATAGATATAAAATTCTAAGAACATATATGCATAACCCATTGATAAACAATAGTATAGGGAAGGCCTGGAGTGGGGTGAGGGCTGGGTGGAGGGGGGCAAAAGGGAGGCATTTCCCATAATACTGTCAACAATAAAATTTAAATAAGTAGATACCATTCTCATTGAGAAGCAATTTATAATTGATTCAGACCTTTCAGTTGGGAGCTAGATTATTAATAGCTTGATTTCACAAATAAATAGCAATTTCTATTTCTAAATCTGAATTTCTCATTTTGATATGCATGTATGTACTTAAATGTGCACACATATAGATCCATTTATCTGTGATATGCAAGGCAGGGATAATTATTCCATTTTATATACAGGTAAGAAAACAATGATAGGTTATGTGACTTGTCCAAGGGCAGGTAACTGATTAGTACACATAAGAGAAATGAAATTCTTTTTCCTGCTAGTCCAGTGCTGAATCCACTATAACAACTCTAAGAGTAAAGACTGCCATATTGTGGGCTCTGTTTTGTTACTGATATACTGTATGTTTAGGGGGAGAGTCCTCACTTTACAGAATAACATGTAAAGCATCTGACTGCTACACAAATGCTCCCATACTCTGGATAGTGAGATAGGAGCCGAGGGATGACATACATTCCCTGGAGTTAGTACTAAGATGCTTACTAGGATACCTTAAAACAAATAATTTTAGAAGTGAGGACTTTGTAAACTGTTTTTGGAACATTGCTTAAAGAACTAACAGCCTGGAATTTCACTGCAATAGCTCAGTATCACTTTACTTAATGCTCTTGATACTACTATATTAATATGACATCTCCATTTGACATGAGTCACCACCAAATGAGCATGACTTTCTGTTATTAAGAACTTGTCCTAAATTAGAACCAGTGCGTCATGGGTGGTAAAAGGCCCCTTGTAGCCAATGAGAAAAACAACTCATTTTCCCTATATAGGGATAGTTTGTTATAAATCCTCACCCACCAATAAAATGTCTTCCCACACAGACTGTTCAAAAACTCAGCCCCCTGGAACACATGATAAAGACATTGCAGTGCATATGCCCTGGAGAGAACAGGAGGCAGGGCTGCTTCGCAACAGGAATAGCTGCTTTCTTCCCAGCAGTTAGCAGCACATGGAAGCACAAGGAGAAAACTTAACTGTTTGTTGAGACAAACCTAAATTACTCAAGAGAACTACTGGCAGGACTGAGATAAACTAGGGTCACTGGCAACGCAAATAAAGTGAACTTGGTCAGGAAAAAAGTCATACTTTTGAGTACACAGAGGAAAAAGGATAGAACAGAGGATGAGAAAGGCAAGTGATTCTCTTAGTTTCACGATGGTGATTACAGATCATCTCTCAGGGGCCGGGTCTTGTCCTCAGTCAGAATGATGACAAACAGCTGGACAGTGCCAGCACTCAAAAGATAGCCCACATCTCTATATGTAGACCTTAGTGGTTGCTGATGGTGGATTTACCTATTAATCTAAATCTGGGGTATAGATGGGAAATATAGACTATTTCTCTTGCCTAATAACAAATAGCTCTGAATTATTTAATTAATTTAAAGCCCCACTGCTGCTGTATAGCATAACTATGAGATCAAAGAAATGGATTAAAATGATTACCCTGTTCTCTCCAACCATTTTGAAGAGTTAATGTTTAGATCATATAATACTGTAATTACATTTAAAATTAAAAATTATTCTTTCTATTGGGCCCCAGTTAGAAATGAATGTAGAATACCATAGTTAATTATGTACCAATACCCAGACTGATAATTAAATTTTTTACTTTTAGATCTTAATATAGAGCCCCTGTCATTTATTCAAAGTAAAAACCTTATGTCTGATTAACCTCAAGAAATTAGGACATGAGCTCTGACTTTTCCTGTTAAGAGAATCAGTTCACTCTCATAGCCAGTTAGCCTGGAGGTCAAATCACCCCCGGTATTGCCGACAACAATCAAGGCTTAACTACAACAAGACTGCGCACAAAGACCACTAGGGGGTGCACCAAGAAAGCATAAAAAATGCGGAGACAAAGAAACAGGACAAAACTGTCAATGGAGGATATTGAGTTCAGAACCACACTTTTAAGGTCTCTTAAGAACTGTCTAGAAGCCGTCGATAAATGTAGTGAGATCCTCAAGAAATCTAATGAGACCCTCGATGTTATGATAAAGAACCAACTAGAAATTAAGCATACACGGACTGAAATAACGAATACTATACAGACTCCCAACAGCAGACCAGAGGAGCGCAAGAATCAAGGCAAAGATATGAAATGCGAAGAAGTAAAAAACACCCAACCCGAAAAGCAAAATGAAAAAAGAATCCGAAAATACAAAGATAGTGTAAGGAGCCTCTGGGACAGCTTCAAGCGTACCAACATCAGAATTATAGGGGTGCCAGAAGATGAGAGAGAGCAAGATATTGAAAACCTATTTGAAGAAATAATGACAGAAAACTTCCCCTACCTGGTGAAAGAAATAGACTTACAGGTCCAGGAAGCGCAGAGAACCCCAAACAAAAGGAACCCAAAGAGGACCACACCAAGACACATCATAATTAAAATGCCAACAGCAAAAGACAAAGAGAGAATCTTAAGAGCAGCAAGAGAAAGAAACTCAGTTACCTACAAGGGAATACCCATACGACTGTCAGCTGATTTCTCAACAGAAACTTTGCAGGCCAGAAGGGAATGGCAAGAAATATTCAAAGTGATGAATACCAAGAACCTACAACCAAGATTACTTTATCCAGCAAAGCTATCATTCAGAACTGAAGGTCAGATAAAGAGCTTCACAGATAAGGAAAAGCTAAAGGAGTTCATCACCACCAAACCAGGATTATATGAAATGCTGAAAGGTATCCTTTAAGAAGAGGAAGAAGAAGAAAAAGGTAAAGATACAAATTATGAACAACAAACATGCATCTATCAACAAGTGAATCTAAGAATCAAGTGAATAAATAATCTGGTGATCATAATAGAATCAGGGACATAGAAAGGGAATGGACTGACTATTCTTGGGGGGAAAAGGGGTGTGGGAGATGCGGGAAGAGACTGGACAAAAATCGTGCACCTATGGATGAGGACAGTGGGTGGGGAGTGAGGGCGGAGGGTGGGGCGGGAACTGGGAGGAGGGGAGTTATGGGGGGAAAGAAGAGGAACAAATGTAATAATCTGAACAATAAAGATTTAATTAAAAAAAAAAAGAGAGAGAGAGAGAATCAGTTCAAGGACTATCTAAGGATTCACTGTCTCCAAGCAAATTTTCCCTCAACAGATACACAGCAAAACACTGCCAACCCATTTAGAACTAAATGCATGGGAGTAATCCCAGCTTCGGTTTCTTTTTTAGACCACTGTTTTAATCTCCATTTCCAGATTTTATCAGCAAAAGTCAGCTTAGAGAGATGGTCCTCATGTGAACCTGACAGGTAATAGTGAATATGAAAGACAAAACTCATCTGCCAGATCCAGCAATGGAGTGCCTTTGTAGAAAATTATAGCTTGGGAGTTTCTATACTGTACATCATAGCACCCCACTAAAACTCTTCTAAAGAGAGAATTAGAACTACAACAGAATCCAATACTGTGGCTCAAAAACAGTTTGGAAGAGAACTTTAAATAATGCCTGCCCCAAAAGGGAAAATACAAATAGCCCTTTAACCACAGATCAGTTGAGCTCAGCCAGTGCAGTCATGACAAGAATTTATGAGAAAAAGGCATACCTCCCTGGCTGCTTTCTGTACAAACCGTTCATCAGTGACCCGAAAGGCCCGGCACAAGGCTTCAGCAGGATCATGGGGGAACATCTCCTGGCGTACCAAGTTAACATGCAGGTGAATGGAGGCATAAATGGCAGCATCCACTCCTCCGTGGCCATCAAACACTGCAAAGTAAGCTTGTTCTTCCTGGTCCTGTCAATAGAAACAGAGGCCCCTTGCACTGTGGCCCAGATTAATGAGATTAAATGTTTCCCTCTTCTGATATGCCTGATCAACTGCTAAAACACCTGCAATACTAGGGCATATGTGTTTACACCAGAATGCTGGAACACATCATGCCCAATTAGCTCAGGCTGAAGTGCCCTCTCTCTGTGAAAGTTGTCTTGCACCATGGAAACCACCCACATGTATTTGCTTCAAAATTGCTACTACAATTTTGAGGGGAGAGGAAGGAAAAAGAAGGTATAAGGGATTGAACAAAAACTGTTCTGCATTGAGTGATGTTTCCAAAAAGAAAAGCATTTTAATCATAAAATTAGAAACTACAAACAATAGGAAATAATTGGCCTTCCAGCACAAGTCCAATTATGTTAGGTTGTTTAAAATACATAGAGATAATGAAAGCATACACATACTTTTAAACTATAATATCGCCCTCATAAATCATTCATAGTCACATTGAATCCTCACCATAAATAACACAGTCTAAACTGGTTGGCAAAACTTGAACCACACAGATGTCCAAATGCACTGTAACACTTCCTTGTCCCCTATTGGAGGATTCAGCTTCCCATTTCCTTGACACCCCCCCCCACACACACACCCGCCCCCAACAACTGCCAGAGGAAGGGCTTCCAAACCTGTGCTTTGTCCTGCCAAAGGAAGCGTAATCACAAGATTACATTAAAACCATTAAGTAATTTGCTTCTTCAACTCAAGTATTTAAATCTCAGATCTAGCTTGCTTAGGGGATATATAACTCACTGAACTCTGAGTCCTGGACTCTCTTTAGATAACAGTATTTAATGATTTTCATTTGTAAGTTTTTGACATTCCTTGAGCTCTAGAAGCTTGAATGAGTCTAGGTCCTGTCATTCAAATGTCATTCAAACAAATATCCAAAATAAACCATATAATTATTTTGTGCTTGTTTTCCTATCTATTAGGTAGGGGTGAGTTGCTATCTCATGGGGATTTGGAAGGACTACTAAAACAACAGGTATATTTGTACTTTGGAAAAGTTCTTTTAAAGAGTATACTACATTTATATAAGTACCACATGTAAATGTCCAGAAAGTAATGATTACACCCAAATATTATTAAGTCTGTACTTACTACAGACATTACAACTAGTTAATTTAGCAGTCTAATGAACACCACCTGCAAGGTTAACTGACTAAATCGATCTATCTAGAACAGTGGTGGTGAACCTTTTGAGCTCAGTGTGTCAGCATTTTGAAAAATCCTAACTTAACTCTGGTGCCATGTCACATGTAGAAATTTTTTGATATTTGCAACCATAGTAAAACAAAGATTTATATTTTTGATATTTATTTTATATATTTAAATGCCATTTAACAAAGAAAAATCAACCAAAAAAATGAGTTTGCGTGTTACCTCTGACACGTGTGTCATAGGTTCGCCATCACTAATCTAGAAAAACAGTCCTGTACTGAAGAGTAGTACTCATTTTTATACAACTCAATTGGCGGGATAAGGGTAAAATAGAAAAACAGCATATATAAGCAGTTTTTAAATGATGGGCAATGAGCTGCTGTGGGATTATCATGGAGGGGGCAATAATTCCTTTATTGGGATTTGAAACTGCAACTAAACAATGTGAATCTGTGGAGAGATTCTTAGTATAGCATCAGAAGAAAAAGAAGAAGTCTAATGGATTTCTTAAATAATTAGTATAGCTTCTTAAATTTTAAAAAATACTGATGTTTTCTCTATTATAAAGATGGTGTACATTTTTTTGGCCTGATAAAGAAGTGTAAAGAAGTAAATATCTATAATCCCACCATCCACAGGTAACCAGTCTTTTACATACATACATATATACATTTTTCAATAAAATTAGGATCATATTATACATTGAATTTTATATCCTGCATTTCCCCCATGTCATTAAGTATTCTCAAAGACATAACTTTAAATGTATGTGTACTATACATTTTATGAACATATCATAGTTATTCCCTATATGCAATACTTTAGATCATTTCCATTTTTTATTGACAATGTTTTATAAAAGAGTTATGTCAAACAAAACATCCTTTGGGTTATATTTGCATGGACATGGTAACATTTGGAAACAAAGATATCACCTCATCTATCTTGTAATATAAGCACCAGTTACTAAACCACCATCACTGCTTATCAGACCTTGACAGTCAGTCAGCTTAAATTTAAATTTAACTGCTAAATAAAGGAAGTATTGTGCTTTGTAGAAATGACTACATTGTAATTTCTAAGTTATGGACTTAAGTGAAGGAAAGAGGTAAGTGACAGGCAAAGAAAACAAACCTACCTCTGTTTGCATTAACATAATATACTTAATAGAAAGAGAAGAGGAATATGACAAGAACATGGTTATTAAGTTGACAAGGCTCATATGATCCAATTTGTCAGTCACAGATTCAGGAAATGTAATTCCAGCTACTTTCCTATCAGAAACCAAGATTTAAAAAAGGAAACCACATGAAATCAGAAAACTGTCTCAGTCTCAAATTCATTCTTTTATGTTTGTGTTTTGTGTTGCGCTTCAACATAATGTGGGAACTTAATAAATACCACTTGATTATACTATCAAAATAGTTTCCTTAAAAAACACACAGCTTTATAGTGATATAACAGTTTTCTTTTTTACTTGTATGTCTATAAAATAGCTCTGGAAAGTTACACAAGAAACTGGTAATTCCCTTGCCTTCATGGAAGGGAACTGAGTGTTTGAGAGACAAAGATAAGAGAGATTTTATTTTTCTACTCTAAACCATGTGAATGCATTACCTATTCAAAATAAATTCCTTTTCTATTGTCTAATGCAAGCAAATTTGTGCCACTTTGCCTTGAATCCTATTCAGACATATCAGATACTATAAGAAGTACAGAGTGGGACAAAAGTAGGTTTGCAGTTGTTTATATGGAAAATAATAGAGTAATTAATAATACAAGAATAAACTCCCACCCAACCAGTTGAGTATAGACCTATGAACCAAGAGGTTACCGGTTCAATTCCTGGTCAGGGCACATGCCCAGGTTGCAGGTTCTATCCCTAGTAGGTGGCATACAAGTGGCAGCCGATCAATGAGTCTCTCTCATCATTGATGTTTCTCTCTCTCTTCCTTTCCCTTCCTCTCTGAAATCAATTTTTAAAAATATATTTTTTTAAAAAAAAACAACTCCTGTACTCACAACTGTAAACCCACTTTTTTTGATTGATTTTAGAGAGAGGGGAAAGGAAAGGGATAGAAAGAAACACTGATGAGAGAGAAACTTCAATTGGCTGCCTACTGCATGCCCCCTACTGGGGATTGAGCCAGCAACCTGGGCATGTGGGCTGACTAGGAATCGAACCAGTAACCTCTTGGTTCATGGGTCAATGCTAAACCACTGAGCCACCCAGCCAGGCTATACACCTACTTTTGACCCACCCTGTATATTAGGAGTTCTGTTAGAAAACCATGACGGTGTTTTTTAAAATCTCATTGACCTCAGAAGTGCCCTTTACCTCTAGGTTGAAGAGCATATTAAAGTCAGGAATGCAGACATGTTTGTCCTCCATTTTCCTGCGCATGTTTTTGATGGCATGGATTGATGTCTCATAATAAAGCTGGGGTCTCCGGCGGAGAGGGAAGTCTTTCACCCAGCTGCAGCAAATCTCATGTAGTTTGCTGAAGACAGAACGGGCCAATTTCACTGTCTCAATCTCTGTGAAAGAAACACAGAAACCCCCAATGAAGAGTCTTGTAAAGCTGCTTTTCACTTGCCTGATTGGTAAAGACAGAAGTAGGTCACACCGGTTAAGCTCCTCCTTAATAGAAGAAATTCCTTCTTCTCAAGAGAAACGAAGTATTGCTTCTGAAAAGAGAAAATGACAACCTATCTATTAGAAAATCATCCAGCAGCTGCCACTATGATGATCCTGTTTCATGAGGAGAAAGCTCTGTTCATGGCTGGGTCTTGGCCATGCCTGGGTTTTGTCAGCCCCCAATGCTCTGGCCACGGCTCTCTAGTTCAGGGCCGTTTCCTACTCAGTTGGCTGCCATGGTTATCATCTGGAAGGCCAAGCCCCCTGTGCTTAGATGAGTGAAATACAAACAGTGGCTCTCCAACTGATTAGAACATGAAAGGCCTCTGAGCAACATTATTTATTTATAAACTACAGGGACCAGAAGAGTTTACCTTATCATTTGTCTTTGTCTCCCCTTCCTAGCCTCTTTTCCTCTTTCCAGTTCCCCGTTTTCTCTTCTGTAACTGATTATAACTCAGAAATAAATTATTTTTGTTGATTTGTTTTGTTTTGTTAATCCTAATCCAAGGATATTTTCCCCCCATTGATTTTTTTAGAGAGAGTGGAAGGGAGGAGGAGGAGGAGAGAGAGAGAAACATTGATGTGAAAGGGGCACATCAATTGACTGGGTCCCACATGCGCTCTGACTGGCAGCTGTGAATGGAGCCTACTTCCTTGACCAGAATTGAATCAGAGACCTTCAGTCCTCAGGCCGACACTAACCACTAGCCAAACTGGCTAGGGCTGTTGATGTCTTTTGTTATTTATTTAAAGCTTTAGGCAGTAGCTTTAAATAGTTTAGCCAATAGGTTAACAACGTTTTTTATTTCTCTAAGGAAAAAATACTTATATTCTATGTGTGTAACCCTGGATAGAAAAAAAAAGAGATATCAATCAAAGGATTCTCTACTCCCAGGCTATTAAGTCTACTACTCAACCTATTAGCTGGTTTCTGAGACTGACTTGCATCCCTCAGTGTATGGACAGATATGAAAGAAAGCCTTTTAAGCAACACTGAATAGTATTGACCCTATTGTCTCACATCACCTCCACTCAAGTTGTCCTCTCCTCAAGCTGCAGTTATTGAAATAACCAACGGGAGATTAGGTTTTCTCAGGACAGTATTTTATTTATTTATTTATTTTTAAATATATTTTATTGAGTTTTTATAGAGAGGAAGGTAGAGGGATAGAGAGTTAGAAACATCGATGAGAGAAACATCGATCAGCTGCCTCCTGCACATCTCCCACTGGGGATGTGCCCGCAACCCAGGTACATGCCCTTGACCGGAATCGAACCCGGGACCCTTCAGTCCGCAGGCCGACGCTCTATCCACTGAGCCAAACCGGTTTCGGCATTAGAGGTTCTACTTACATCCCAGGTAAAAAAAAAAAAATTACAATTCTCAAATTTTTGTTTTACTTTACTAAGTCACATATAGCTTGACAGCCTAAGAAAATGTGTGCCAGATGGCAAATGGCTGTGCATGCCTCTTGCCATCTACAATACAAGTCCCAAAGAGAGACTGTGTGTTCTTAGAACGTCCTGGGAACTTAGTCTCATTTTATATTCCTTGCCCAGACATTGCCTAAATCTGTGACTACAGTTACTTGTTTTCTTATTCAAATTTCTTTTTAAAATGACTGTTCAGAAAGTGACTTCAAGGTTTTTTGTTGTTTTTCTCATTAACATAATCCAGGGTGGTAAACTATGTTTTGTGGTTTTGTCCCCTTGACATTTTTATATAACTGAAAATCAAGGGTACATTTGAAAGAACAAGTAAAACCTGAGGAGGTGTATATAAGAGGGAAACTGAGGCCAAGAGAAAACACATTTTGATGGTTTTAAGCAACTCCAATCTTTTTTTTAAGCACCAGCTGCCAGACACTGTCTCTTTCAGCCAGCAGTTGCCTATGTGTATCACTCCAAATATGTGTTTGGATATGCATTTGACTCAGTCACAACAGAGGATTGCAAAATGATAAATGAATTCGGAAACAAATAACTGATAATAATATAAACCATTACATCATTCTTTGGTTTATATATTACTCTTATTTTATAGACCTGGACTGTTCAATAAAATACTTTTCTAGCTGCAGTGTGGCTACTTAAAATTTAAAATTCAGTATTTTGGTCATATTAGCTGTATTTCAAGTACTCAATAACTGCATACACTCAGTAGCTACTGCACTGGACAACACAGGTAGAGATTATTCTGTGTTTTTTTACTTTTGACCTATTAATATATAAATTATGCTAACAGACTTCCCAATATTTTTGTTTTGTTCACTGCTATTTTGCCAGCAAAACGCTAAGTATATGGTAGGCTTTCAATAAAAGACTCATCAAAATAACTGTTGTACTCAATGTTACCAATATTTTACTTAATTTATTTAACATTTATTATTAAGATTGATCCCATTTCTTTTTTAAATCTTGTCCTAGACAGCTTGTCTAAGTTTTGGTGTCAGTGTTATGCTGTGCAAATTTTCCTTTTTATGAAATCGAATAATTCATTTTCAAAAGCATTGGAATTATGTGTCTTTGATTGTTTGAAATTGTTCACCTGGAGAATCACTTGCTCTTTGTCCTTTGGGGAAAATAGCTAGCTTCTTGACAATCTTCTCAATCTCTTTCTTCTTACGAAAAGTTTGTTAACTTGTATTTTTCCAGAAAATATCCAGATTTTCAAATGCATTCACACAGTATTTTAATAATTCTTTTAATTTCTTTTGTATTAATGATAAATTTCCCCTTTTTGTTTTTAATGTTTACATTGGGATATTTCAAATGGATTTTAGGTTATCTGGACAGGCATTACATCTACTAAATAAATTTGTACCAACAGATATGCAGGGTTGTTTAACAAACATTGTTAGGGACGATATAAACATGAAAAGAACTTTTTTTTTTTAAACCTGTTTTTGGAAACAACTAAAGAGACAAAAGGCATTTCAATGACAGCAGGCCTTATTCAATATGCTCATTTCCCACTCTGATATATGGAGAAACACAATTTGCCCTGTAGGTATTCTCAGTGCGGTTCATATTGAGTGATTTGGGTTAAATAGATTAAGGGCTTGCAAACAGTCCCGAATTACAATAGATCATGCTGAATCACAGCAGTGGCATGGAGAATACATTACTGGGTAATCTCTTGGAAAAATATACAATCAAAACGACCAGTAATATCCACCAAAAGAAAAAATGCCTTCATTTCACTTTTGCTATCCTATGGGAGAGGGAGGATGTCAGAAAATTCTTACAAAGTAGGCATGTAGGGCAGTATTTCAATCTTGCAACTTTAGGTATTCTCCTTCTGTGGGGAGCGGTATAGAACATTAGTGTATAAATAATTGCTGCCTGAAATGAAAAAATAATTTAAAAGGGTGAGAAAATTGTTCAAAGCAGTAGTCCACCCCCTAACAGCTGTAAATTACTCATCAGTCTTAATGTCACTGAACTGAGCTGGAGCTGAGTCAGCCATCAGCCTGGCTGCAGTGAAGCAGAATTTAATCTCCCTTATCTTTTCATTACAGGGCTTTTACTTTATTGCATCAGTACCAGAAGGAAGACCAATGCATTGTAGCAGGAATTCCATCCAACTTGATTCTGGAATAATTTGGTTCCAAGTGAACCAATTACTCTCAGTAAAAACAAGCAGAGGAATTACTTCCTTGCCAATTTTCTATCAAAATGATCTAGAGAGATAAAGGAAGAACAGGAATGTTTACTGTTATATCTGCCTCAGATTCTCTGGAACCTAGCTACTCTGATTCATTAATATATGCTTTGCTCCTTATGCACCATGTTGAAGGGCAAATGCTTGAAATAGAACAAACAGAATGAAATATTTAAATTCCTTAACAATTTGTAGTCATTCCCTAATTTTTATAAAATCGGTATTTCTTTAGCTTATCTAATATGTATAAGTCTAATACATTAGTAAATATACCTTCTTTAATAAATAAAACTTCATAATTTGCCTGGAAAAAAGAAGTAAAATGATCCATGCTTCTACTATACAATTAACCAGTGGGTAAACATAATTAAAGTTAGTATTTGGCAGACATTTTCTGTGGATCACTACACATGAGAATATTTTATATTTTCAAACAAATAATGTAGAATGGTACTCACCCACAGTTCCTTCTGTGCCATCCGTTTCCTTTGGGATGTAATGTGCAGAAAGATCACTCTGAAGGACTTCATCTGATGTGGCTCTGGCTAAAGCAGCAGCCAAAAAGGAAGGGCAATTACTGAAAGAAAAATAAAAGGCTATTTCACTAAGAATTAGGAAACAGGGGGTTGGGCCTAAACCGGCAGTTGGACATTCCTCTAGGAGTCCCGGATTGTAGAGGGTGCAGGCTGGGCTGAGGGGGACCCTGCCCCCTCTCCCCCATGCACAAATTTCATGCACCAGGCCTCTAGTAGGATATAATTTAAAACTGGAACAAGTTTTATAAAGGAAACAAATGGGGTACAGTGAAAGAAAATAAAAGAGGGGTAACTCCTTAGAATGTTTAGGAATGCCGTGCCTTGAAGGATGAGAAAGCCTCAGTTATGTAGGGGTGGGAATTTTGGAGAGAATATTCCAGGCAGAGAAAATAACGTGTACAAACCCTTTCTGAGAGTTTGGTATGTTTGAGGAACTGAATGAGGCCCAAAGAAGATGAAGTATAGTGCGTAAGGGGAAAAATGACAGGGAATATTGTCAGAGGAACAGGCATCTTTGAACCATGGTAAGAATTTGGATTTGCCCAGACCGGTTTGGCTCAGTGGATACAGCGTCTGCCTGCGGACTGGGGGGGGGGGGGGGGGTTCCCAGGTTTGATTCCAGTCAAGGGCATGTACGTTGGTTGTGGGCACATCCCCAGTGGGGGGTGTGCAGGAGGCAGCTGATCGATGTTTCTAGCTCTCTATCCCTCTCCCTTCCTCTCTGTAAAAATTCAATAATATATATTTTTTTAAAAAGAATTTGGATTTTACTCAAAATGTAGTGGGAAGTCACTGAATATTGTGAGCAAGAGAATGCCATTAAAATATTACTTAAAATATTATTAAAATAATACTACTTAAAATATTGCTTTGCTGTGTCAAAGGAAATTGGAAGCAAGCAAAAATGAGTGAGTAACCACTGAGGAGACAGTTGTAATCCCAGGCCAACACTCTAACCACTGACAACCGGCTAGGACGAACCCGCAACCTTTTGGTGTATGGGACGCCGCTCCAACCAACTGAGCCATTAGGCTACAGCTGGATATTGAATTTAATACCATATAATCACTGGGTACCAAGACAACTCAATGGGGGAAACAAGTCTTTTCAACAAATGGTGCTGGGACAACTGGATATCCATACAAAATAATCACGTTAGACTCTCTCCTTACACCATATACACAATTTTAGTCAAAATGGATCACAAACCTAAATGTAAGAGCTAACACTATAAAAATCTTAAAAGAAAACATAGCAGTAAAACCTCATGACCTTGAATTAGGCAATGGTTTTCCTAAATATGAAACCAAAAGCACAAGCAACGAAATAAGAGAATTAAATAGGACCGAAAATCAAGAAAGTGAAAAGACACCCAGCCCGGTGTGGTTCAGCAGTTGAGCATGGGCCTATGAACCAGGGGGTCATGGTTCAATTCCTAGTCAGGGCACATGCCCAGGTTGTGGGCTGGATTCCCAGTTGTGGGCATGCAGGAGGCAGCCGATCAGTGATTCTCATCATCATTGTTTCTATCTCTCCCTCTCCCTTCCTCTCTGAAATCAATAAAAAAAGAAAGTGAAAAAAAAGTGAAAAGACAACTCACAGAATGGTAGAAAATATTTGCAAATTATATCTGATGAGAGACTAGTATTTAGAACATATAAAAAACTATTTTAACTCAATAATGAAAACACAACCCAATTTAAAAATGGACAAAGGATATTAATATTTTTCTAAAGATCTATAAATAGAAGAAAACCGTAAGAAAAGATACCCAAAATCATTAGTCATTAGGAAAATGCTAATCAAAACCACAACGAGATACCACTTCACACTGAGTAGGATGACTGTAATAAAAAAAAAGAGGCAACAAGTGCTGATGACCATGTAGAAAAATTCAAATTCTCATATATTTCTGGTGGGAATGTAAAATGGTGCAACAGCTTTGGCAGTTCCTTATAATGTTAAACACAATGCTACTACATGGCTCAGCAATTCCTTTGAGTGGAATATACAAGAGAAATAAAAACATACTTCCACACAAGAACTCAGACATGAATGTTCATAGCAGCATTATTCATAATAGCGAAAAAGTAAAAACAACCAAATGTCCACCAACTGCTTATGGATAAACAAAAGGCAGTATATTCATGCAATAGAATATTATTCAGCCATAAAAGGAATGAAGTATTGATACATGCTACAATGTGTATGAACCTTGAAAACATGGTAAGCTACAGACACTAGTCACAAAAGATCACATACTGGATGATTCCATTTATATGAAAAGTCCAGAATAGGCAATCTATTGTAACAGAAAGTAGAGGAGAGTAGCTTAAGGCTGGGAGGTGGTGCAAACAGGGAGGAACTGCTAATGGGTAGGGGGTTTCTTTTTGGGGTGATAAAAATGTTCTGCATCTTACACTGTAGTGATGGTTAAACAATTCTGAATACACTACTAGTAAAACAACTGAACTGTACAATTTAAGAGTGCAATTTTTACAGTATGTAAATTATATCTTTAAAAAAGTCATTGACTTTGTCAAGAACCACTGAATAAAGACAGTGACTGAAAGGGGATATGAAAACAGGGAAAGTTTGTAGTTTTAGAATGGTGCAGAATCTGACTGCATACTAAATGATTTGACCTAGTAGAGAAAGATTGATAGCTAATGCAGGAGAGAGGGAAGGAACAAAGGAGCAAATTTCCTGAGAAGGCAAGGAGGGATGATATCCGGTTCATATACAGAAATATTGACCTTTGATAGGACGAGGCACATTTCCTTAATTGAAAAAGGGAAAAAATAGGGACAGATGCAAGTAGGTTTCCAATTTCTTGGTAGGAAAATAAGGGAATTCACATCTAATGGTCTGATTCAACAATAGCTATTGAGGCTCACAATGTTCCAGGCACTGTTCTACTCCACAGGATACATAGATGCCCAAAAAGGACAAAAACCCCTGCCTTTGGAGCTTACATTCTAAGTCCAGTGATGGCGAACCTTTTGAGCTCGGCGTGTCAGCATTTTGAAAAACCCTAACTTAACTCTGGTGCCGTGTCACATATAGAAATTTTTTGATATTTGCAACCATAGTAAAACAAAGACTTACATTTTTGATATTTATTTTATATATTTAAATGCCATTTAACAAAGAAATATCAACCAAAAAAATGAGTTCGCGTGTCACCTCTGACACGCGTGTCATAGGTTCACCATCACTGTTCTAGACAATGGCTTCTCAATGAAGTATAAGGCTAGACCAGTAGTTCTCAAACTTTTGCTTGCATCAGAATCACCTGCAGGCTTGTTAAAACACAGATTGCTGGGCCCTAACCCTAGGGTTTCTGACTAAGCAGGCCTGGAGTAGGGCCTGAGAATTCTCATTTCTAATAAGTTCCCATATGATGTTCATGCTGCTGGTCTGGGGAGCACACCAATGAGAACCATTGCGTGATGTCATCAACTGGGTGGTGAGGGCAGAAAGCACATGGGGCAGGAGGGATGAAGAGAAAATAAATATGAAATAATCTTATCAGAGAGTAGTAGGACTGTCAAACAGTGCCAAGAGGTTATTGGAAGTTTGAGACAATTTTTTAATGAAACCAGTCTTTCTGGTTGCATGTGCTGGAACATGTGTAAGTAAAAAAAAAAATAAAAAAAAAAATTGTTCATCAAGATTTGAGGTTTTGCAAAGTGATTCTATAAAAGTAAAGAAGAGACATGGGAACTGATTATCTTTTTAAGGACATGATTACAATGTTCGACCATGTACTATTGGCTAAGAAAGAACAGACATGAGTTGCAAATCAATGTGGTCTAAATGTAATTTTAAAACTGTAGTGGGAGTACTTGAGCACATAACCTAGGACAGAATGTTGTAGTCTGAGAACAGAATGTTCTATATGATTTTGGAGCTGGTGTAATTTTTGTGATGACAAGTTTTAGGTGAGACCAAGAAAATTAGTGGTTTAGAAGCAGATAAAGTGACAATGTTTAAGGTTTATGTCCCTAAGGGGAAAGGGGACTAGAAATTCTCTTTATTTTTATCAGTATTTCTCAAATTGTAGGTTATAATCCATTAGTGAGTAATAAAATCAATTTATGAATTGTGACCAGTATTTTTTAAAAAATAGAATAGGATATATGAAGTAAGGCTAAGTATTCTAGATATGTGTGTGTGTGTGTGTGTGTGTGTGTGTGTGTGTGTGTTGATTCCTGATTTTGATGGGGAAAAAATTGAAAAAAACAACTCCAGAATAGGCAATTACTGCCTTCATAATTATGAAATAAATTGGTGGCATCTTTTGAAGTCCAAATGCTGTATAAACAGTATTACCATTTCTCCTTTCATGCTAGGTTAACTGAATTCTTCCTTATGAGTCAAAATTTCCCTTCATACACCTAAACTGTCTTCAGCACTGCTTGTTTTTACCTTTCAATCACGCTTTACTTGAAGTAACTGGAGATACCCAAATATTTTGCCTAAGGCGACTTTATACTAACAGTATTAACATTTACTTGGTCCTTCTGTTTGTTTTAAAATTTATATTTAAAACCATCTAAAAAATCTTTATTGTTATCTTGTTTCCAAGGATTAAAAAAAAAAAAGGATATTTGGATCTAAGTTCACTAAAGGTAAAACTTTTGAGAATACAGCAAGAACTATTAGTCTCAGTAATGTGTCATCTGCAAATACATTTTTAGTCACAGTTAATGTAATTTCTTTCTTTTTGTCAGACAGAATGAAAATATTTTCAGTGAAGTAGGGAGGAGGATTAGCTGACTAATAGCTAGATATAAAACATCAAGCTAGACGCTTCACCCACATCCGATATTCCTACATGTCAGAAAGCTATCAGTAGAGTAGTCTTATGGTTTTGACTCTGAAGTGAAAGTGATTATTTCTAAAAAGTCAGAATTGCAAAATGTATTTTAAAACATAGTCACATCACAGAATATTTGATACAACTCAAATAGAAGGCTATAATTAAAGCTTGTCATTTTAAAGAGAATTACCAGGAGTGAGTAACAAGATAATAACA